CTTGGGCAGTAATTCTTGTTCCAAGTAAATATATCTCTGGAAATTGCTTTAGGAAAGCAAAACTGGCCAAACAGCCACTCTGTGATTCGTTGCAAGAGTTAACCTTTTATTTAGGATTATGAACTTAGACCTACTGCCATTCCTCACATGAATAACTTCTCCTTAAGTAAAAAGTACAACTGCATTTCAAAGGATTTTCACTAAGTTAAAAAAAAAAAACAACAACACAGTTGGGCTGAAACCTCGCTGTAAAAAACATGTTCTTTTAAATTAAAAAGTGTTTGTGTAGGGGAAGAATTGCCAATAAATTCCAGTTAAAGTCAATTCTGTTAAAAACCTTAAATGTCTGCTCTAATAAAGACTTCAGGGAAAATAAATGGTACAAAATACTTCACAGGAGGGTTCAAGTGCAAGGCATATTTTCAGATAACTAGACAATCCATACTAGGATTTGTTTGGAGGCAAAATGTGTTTTTATTAGTCTTTCCAGAAGTCCTTTCCAAAATGGGTAAGAGACTTGAATTTAGGCTGGTTTGCCAAACATCCAAGAGGATTATCCTGGGTTTAATATGCAGATTTTTCTGGACTCCAAAAAATATTTACTCTTGTAAAAAGTTGTGTATTCTATCAGGTTGCAGCCTTGGCTACAGATTTTATCGGAGTTTGGAAAGGCAAAGGACAGGGAAATTTATTTCAGTATCATCCTCTATTAGTTGGATTTCAGAACCTGCCCAATTTGCTGAAAGTTTCAGGTGGAGAAGTTGGGTTTTTTTCCTCTTCAGAGAAACTTCTTTTAGAGGATTTTCATCCCATAGAATCTTCTAGTTGGTTTTGCTAATCCTCAGGTTAGATTAGTGCCTGGTGTGTGACTGGGGATGGGGTGACTCAATCCTTGCTGAAAGTTCCCTCACCCTGCAATATATAAAGAATTCCCTGTGATGGTCTGACAGGGAAATCCTCCTTCTCTGGTGGGTGATAACATTCCAAACCTGTTGTTTGTGCTGGGGAATTGGGATGTTTTCTCCTCTGCAAACCCAGCAGTGCAGCCCTTGTTCCTGCAGGGTTTTTTTTCCTGCAGTTCCTTTCCCTTTGCAGATGGTTGAGGTTGCAGATGGATGTGGGAGCATCAGGTTGAGCAGGACAGCTGTTCTTCCCATCCCTCTTGCTATGATCCTGATTTTTATGTCACTGCCTCTTTGGTTTGTTTGGTTTGGGATTTTAAACACTTCATTCATTGGAAAAAACAAGGAGGGAAGGGCCAGCTGGTAACTAAAGCTGAGCTGGAGAGAGAGAGAGAGGAAAGGATCAGGGCAATCACATCTCTCCTGACTTTTTATCTGGGGTTGGAGATTTTATGGTTATACTCAAGTGGTGAGCAATAAATCCCAGTAGGGGAACGTAAGGAATGCAAAATTCAACATAACATTTTACATTTAAACTCCTTCTTTCCATCTTTGTTTACCTGTTCTCCAAGAACAGACTGAAGCAATCACTGAAACAATTACAGAAAACATGAAATCCAGGTAATATCCTTATTTTGTAAGTGAGGGAGGGCACAGATTTTCCCAGAGGAGTTTTTGGTGGTGGGAGGTTGTAAGGTTGTGGCACAGTTTGGTTTTGAAAACAAGGAAGTCAGCCCTACATAACTAATATCTCCAGGGGGAATTTTTGACTAAAAGTCCTAAGTGCTCAAGAATAATTTAATGCCAACAGGGTGTAACTTGCCTAAAATAGCTACATGTCTCAAAACTTGCTAAAATTGTTACTTTATCTGGATTTTTCAGTTCCCCTGATAAGACATGGTTTGTCTGATACTGATAAGCTGGAATTGATTCCGGGCTTGTGAGAAACAAGTGAAAGTCAAGGGGAAGATTTTGGTCTGTGGTGTGGGGGAGTCAAAATGTGGCAGAACACAAAATTCAAGGTCTGATTTTGAGATGATTGGAGAGAAAATAATTAACTCAAATAAACCATCATCTCCTTCAATTAGTAAAGAATACGTGGAAATAGAAACTAATATTAGCTCTATTATTTCAAGGCTGGTTTAGGTTAGTAGCCCATTTATTAACCACGATGACACTGTTCTAGCTCTTTTCTGTATGAAATTCAGGTTTTAATAGTATTCTCCCCAGTCCATGTCAGTAGAGAAATTTTTAGGGCTGAAAATCAAGCTTTTAAACCTGGATTTCTCTTAAGTTTAGTCTTCTGAAAAAAAAAAAAAAGGCAATTTTACTCTGGCCTATGTTAGGTCAGATTCCTGCCCAGGCTTCCTGTTTTCTTGGAGTCTCCAAAAACATAAGACCTGATTTTTAAAGGCAGCTTCTCATTTGCTTTCACAATTAACTACAGGGACAAATATTCAACTACCTGCCTGCCTTTAACAATCAGGCAGCACAGCCCAGTTTTTCCTCTGCTCCTGTTTAATACAGGCAAAAAAAAAAAAGAAAAGCAATTATAAATCTAATATAACATTAAACCCATATGTACGGATGAGAACCAGGTTCTGCCACCTTTTAATGGTCAGGAACATGATTTTTTGGGGTTTTATTTTGGTTATCAGTGGGACCAGCTGCTAAAGAAAGTGCTAATACTGGCAGGGGAGTAAGATTCAAGAAGGCAACCCTGTGTGAATAATAACCTAAGTACCCATTCAACTTTAAGCACTTCTTTATGGTCCTGGAAGTTAATGGCTTTACACATTTGGTCAAAGTTAAGCATATGTTTAATGCCTCCCTGAATTAGAAATTAGATCTTTGAACTTCAGTTTTGCTTACACTCGGTATTATTTTGTTGGGAGGTTCATTTTGGGAAGGCAGGGAAATAGCAGTCATTCCAAATGAAATCCTTTTGCAATTAAACGTTGCCTGTACAGTAGATTCAGCACATCAGCACTTGACATTTTTCTTCTTAATGTATATTTGACTGTATAAGAGCCATTAAATGGGACTAACTATACAATTGTTTCGATTAAATTCTCTGGTTCTCCAAGCAAAACCACTCAAAGTTAAGAGGAAAAAAATAACCCATCTTTTGAGTGACTTTAGTTTTCTATTTATTATACCAAAGTTTAGGCTCAGTTTTTGCTTTGTGTAACCTGGAAACTCATCATAATTCCCTGATTTGACTTAAATTTGCTCAGTCCCAGCTATCACACCTAATATTATACCCCTATAAACTATAACTTATTAGAAGAACTATGGAAAAACACTGTTTTACCCTGTATTCAGTTTTTATTTATCATTTAAATACCCTCACCTTTATTGTACTTATTGGGAATTAGGGAGATCAATGCCTTTATCAGTAATAAAAGGCCATTCCACTTGCTCATAATCTTCTTCAAAGCAAGTTATGCCAGTCTTCAACACACACATAATTCTAAATATCTTCTTGCTATATGCACTGTGTTTTTAAAGCCTGAATTCCACAATAAAACCAGATTTAGTCTCATCAAATAAACCAGAAACCATGTGTTGCTTGACAGAAAATACAAGATTTCTGAAATTATGGGGGGTCAGGGTTCAAGTTCTTCAAACTTCCACTTGGGGACTGTGGTACCCCTGTTTTCTGGGAGCACTGATGAGCTAGGATGGGTTTTTGGTGGCAGGATCCTGCTTAGAGGTCTGAAATTAGTGGATCTCTACAGCTTTGCCAGCAGAGGGATGGGGAAAATGGCCTCCAGAAGCCACCAGTACTCATAGGGAACATGATAACATCCCCATTAATTAATTCAATTACTGCAAAATAAGCAAACTCCTACTGGTTTCAGTGGAAGTTACATCAAGCACAGCATACTTCAGTATTAGCAAAGATAAAACTTTATTTTATAAGAGTTTTATTCATATATAAGACTGTCTGAAAGGGAACTTCAGGAGTAGCTGATCCTCTTTGTTGTACTGAATTCTGCAACGTGAAGACATAACTGAGGCCACTTTCTGCTTTAAAAAATCAGGAGTCTGCCCACAAAATCAGAATTATCTCCACAAGAGCCTTGCAAGTCAATCCCAGACATTAGCAGGCAGTCCAACTCCAATTATCCTTAACTAGAACCTTCCAAGTTCATTTTCTTCTCCTGTCCCCATATTAACACTTGTGTTATCTCATATTAATATTAAATATGTATTGTTATTCTAATAACTAATTATCAGACTCATAATGCTAATGATGGCAATTCAGTTTGTAATCCCATCTGTTCACTTTACCACAGTTGTTTATTTTCTTTCCTGCTTTCAGAATACTCTTGATTTGTAATTAATCACGCATTTTGACTTTTTTTAATTAGAGATTTGCTGGTTTATTTTAAAATAAAGGATCAGGAGGAATAAACAAGAGCTGGAATGGCACTGCAAAGAGAAAACATTTCTGTTCTCAGTGACCAAACAACTGAAAAAAATGTGACTATAAATGAAGGATGGAACAGCTGAGTAACTTGTAGCAAAGAAGAAGTAGATAATTTTTAAAATATTCCTACAAGGCCTGTTGTTATTTTCTTTTAAACTTTCTCTCTTTCACTGGGGATCTTTAAATTCAAAAATATCTATTTTGCTGATATATTTCTTGTGTTTCATTCAATATCCAGAAGGCAAAGGTGACTAAAACAACCTGATGGAGAAAGTTTCCATTGATCTCCCGGAATAATTGTGTTATTCTATTCTGGATGTATTTTAGTATCTTCTAAGAGTACTGAAATGAATTGAAGGTAACAAAACCTTCCTTCTCTAAATGTTTTATACATTTAACTTAGATATTATTTCTAAAACCTTAAGGTAGTCTGGCAATCTTTTCCTCATATCTTTTTTGCTCTTTAGTCTGTTTTCCCACTTCTCTATAAGCGTAAATTTATGCACTCTCAAGCTTAATCCCATTTTCATTGAAAAAAAAAGTAATAGGATTTGGGGGTTTCTTTGTTTTGTTTGCTTTTTTTTTCTTATGCTCTTTTAATTTGCTACAGTTCCTACACTTTTTATAAACCGATTTTTCTCACCCTCTGCTTTCTCAGGTGTGCAGCCATTGCTGTGAGGACCAAGAATTCCCTCAAAAACAGGTAATAAAATCTCCATCTGTATTTTTGTTCCCTTGAATTTTAAATGTATCAGTGCTTGTCTGATTGAATGCAATGAACCATCTGCAACAGGGAACAGGAGAAGGTTGTTTTTTTCCCTACCCTCAAAATGCAGCAGCCACTGTGTTACATTGCTCCGAGTTTTGTGAGCGTGTTTTTGTTGTTGGTTCCTTGTCGGCAAAACGTCCTCTGCTGACCACGAGGCGAGAAAGTAATTATTTCTGACAAGAAAAAAATGGATTCTTCTCCCTCCTTTTATTTATTAATTAAAAAACCAAGATACACACCCTTCCTTCAGCAGTGCTATGATCAGAAAAGTTGGATTTAGACCTTAATCTGCATCCCTGTGTTTCAACACAGGATCAAAGCAACGGGTTTGCTGTTTGCTCCGGTTCTTTTATCTGTGGTGCAGTGGAAAACATCAAACAAATCTCATTTGTTTGCAGCTAACACATGCATAAAGAGGGCAAGGCATTGTAATTACACGTGTGTAATGCAAACTGAATTCATTTGCAGCTTTGTCTGCACAAATGCAGTATATTCATAGTGTCAATATTCAGTAATGCTCAGCCCTGTGCACTGAGGAGACATTAAAGAGCTTTAGGGTTGATATTTTTATTTTAAAGATGTTTTTTTGGTCCCAAACACCAGCCCAAGTGGCTGCACTGTGTTTTATTTATTTAGCTGTGTTCCCTACAAACAGCTTCCCCAACCTGGCCTGTTGTTTGGTTCTGCCCCTCCTGTGGCTGTGTGGCTAATCAGGATTTCCAAATGCTAGGTGTTAGCAGACGAAGCTTAGAGGTGAGAAATTCTGTCATCACCCAGGGATTAAGCAGAGATTTATTCAGGTAACTCAGAAAAAAATTCCTCTATGAGGTTTAAAACAGGCCGTGCATCTCAATTTTCAAACTTGTCCTGCATATTTAAACACCCTCCCTGGGTGGGAGGGCACTGCCCATTGACCAGGGGACTTTTTTATGGTGTATACTTATTTTTTTATTATTTTAAAATATGCATGGAAATGGTCTTGATGATAAATTAAAAATATTTTTTTAACAAGTTACCTAAAAAATAGTAATTACAGACACCTATTGGAACTATTTTCCGCATCAACCTCTCTGTTAAATGATGGACTAACAACTAGAAAGTAAGAGCAAGGGGAAAAGTATCTTCTTACTGAAAAATGTGAGGTTTCCACAAGTACCTCTGGGTGCAGAACGTGAGCACAGCCCCAGTTTGTGGCACAGTGAGTTTACTGAGTGAGCAGCAGAACCACCTGGACACATATTCACCATAAAAGGGTGATTTTTGGCTTCCAAAAAAATGGAGTGGGAAAAAAAAAATCATAAGCACTCCCCTGTCCATCCTGTCCATATTGCATCCCATCCAGCCTGTCCTTGCTTGGGTGACTTCCCTAATTCTGGAGCCTCAGTGCAAGAGGTCAGTGAGCAATTTAATTGCATGTGAGAGAGGATCAGCTCCTGGCACAATTTATAACTAAGGTAACTAGTTCAGAAATCCACGGCTCATTTAATTTTAAAAAGAGGGTCTAGTTTAATTATTTATGCTGTATAAATAATGAGATTCCAACAGGCTGAGGAGTCACTGAAACATTATGATATTAAATCTTTGCAAAGAGACAGGAGGTGAAGGGAGAGGTTCTTGTGTGTTAGAAAGTGTGAGGATTAGCAAAATGTGAATTAGTAAGGGTCTGCTGCATTCAATATAGAATTTAAGGTGAACTATTTACTGTTGGCATAACTTATTAAAGTTAATTATTAAAGTTACTTATTAAAACTAACTCTATGAGCTGGTAAATAATAGAAAATGCATTTGATGAAAGAAATGCTAATTTTTTTTTTCCTAACAATGTTATTTGAAGTTATTTAACAAATTCCATTTGCTATTATCTATTAATAAACAGTAGGAAATAGTCAATACCCTATGTTCAAACCTTGATGCATTTGAAGCAGATGGATGATATTTTGGGTTTCACCATTATTCTTTTTTTTCTGTTCAGATTTGTTTGAAATTAAACTCCTGCAAGATGAAGGGTGTGGGAGAGAAGAAACACTTTTTATCCCGGGATGCTGAGCTGAGAAGTCAGCACGTGGTTGACTGTGTTGATGGCACTAAAATAAACCAGGGAGAGCTCTCCTAAAATAATGTGTGGTCTATTAATCTAAAGATTAGGCTGGAGTGTGACAGCCAGGGGGAAAAGCAGGAATCTATTCCCACTGACAATGAAAGCCCTCCATGGAGTGGGGATGGAAATGTGTATTTCTATAGGGAAAAGCACCACCAAAATCCTTCACAATTCCCAAAGGAGCTATAAACCTGCATGGGATGTGACACAGAGAGTGGAAAAATGTGGAGGAAACAAGAATTGGCTGCTTTGTCTCACAGAAGGCTCACAAATCTGGCAACCAGTTGTTATTCCTAAATCTTGGACCCCTACGGCAGAATTTCCAAGTCAACATTAGTCCCTGTTTTCATGGGTCCTGTTCCGTGTTTTGTTACCTTGAGCCTTTATTAATTCCATTTAATTACAGGGTAATCAGTGCTGCAGTTTATGTTCCTGTCACTTGTTTTGCTTCCGTAGCAATATCCATCAGGAATCTCAGCCCCTCCACACGTCAGCTCTCCCCTATTTTTCACTTTGACATAGTTTATAGCAAGTGTCATTATGGGATTGCATTTAAGCTGCTGCTGACAGCATGTCATTGTTCAATTAAGTTTTTTGACACCTCTTCTAATTGTATATCTCAGCACTTCATATTCCTAAGGATATGCTGTTTCTCACCTTCCCCAGTTGCTTAAAAGGCAGGAAAATCTCTCTCCTTTCCTCCAAACGTGAAGATTGTGTTGAATTTATTTTGTAAATGTGGCGTTAGAATCTCACCCAAAAAACCCTGCAGGTTGATGCAAATTTTCCCCAGGAATCTGAGGGATGGGGTTATTCACCTACTGCTGGAAAATTGCAGAAGTTTCTGGAAATTTCCCCACAAAATGCTGGTTTGGGCAAATTTTTGTGGATAAGGGCACATTTCAAACAGTGTTATGATGAAGTCCTTGATCATTCTGCTGAAGTACTTAAAGACCATCCCAGTTTCAAGGTTGGTTTTCTTTTTCCCCCCAAAAAAGAGATCTATTTCTAAATATTGTTAAATGGATAAAAAAGTGAAAAAAATTTTCAGAATCCCAAATCTGATTAGCTGAACAGAGGTAGTTGACCTTTTACAACATAAATACAAAGGATTTTTTTTATTAATTCTTTTTTTTTTTTGCTAAAAGTATGTTTGGGTGTTTTTTATGTTCATTTGTGGCCTTGCAGTTGGGATTTTTTTTTTTTTGATTTCTTTAAGAACAAGCTTAGATTTCCACAGGGTGTCTCTTGGAATGCACCAGAGCAAAACATTTCGGAGTCCTAGAGAAGGAAATCTTTTACTGCTGAACCTTCATGGAATGACTAACTTTGAATTACAGGGGCTGTGAATCAGCTGGGAAACCAGGTAAACATTTTTAATGACATAAAGTTAATTTCTGGATGTCTTGAAGGCTCTTTGGCTTTAAAACCTTTCTTCTAGACTGGTCACACAAGACTATTTTGGGGAGAAAGATGAAAATGCTGATCTTCTCTTTTAATTTTTTGGCAAGATGAACACAAGAACTGAAACAGGTTGTGCTTCCTTGAATAAAAGAACTAAAACTAGCTGGATCTAAGTAATGTAATACCCTTATAATTATAAATGTGCATTTTTTTACAGCCACCACACAAGAAGTTTTTCAAACAAATGGAAAAATTCTATTTGTTTGGTTGATTGTTTTTTTTTTTCCATAAGCCAGAACTTAATTTATTACTGAAAACAGCTCGTGTGGGTAGGAGACCTCACTGGGGAATAGGTTTTGAATCTTGGATCTCTGTTTAGGACAATAAACAGAAGCATCATGAATTCCCCTTTTAGAGTTGATCTTGTAATATTCAGCAGTTTGATTTTCCTTCCACTTTCACGAGCAGAAGAGACTTTGTGGTGCCTTCCCAGCACTTTACAGCATCAGCCTGTTTTTCCATGCAGTGTGAAAATACATTTTCATGACACACTATTCATTTTATGGGAGAGAAAAACACCTGCTCAGCACCTTTGTGAGAAATGTGAATTAATGCTGCAGAGGAGGCTCTAGAGAAGTTTAGATAATGTTCAACTTCCAGGCATGAAGCTGTGATGTAAATTAAGAGGTGCAGCGAAGCTGATGCCAAACAGATCAGCTCCCATTTACCTGAGGGATACAAACAAAAGCTTCTCTGAGGTATTCCATGGATCTGTTGGAATCTCATCCTCACCAACACACTCAAACTGAAGTTTCATTAAAGCTGGAAAAGACCTTTAGGATCCTCAAGTCCAACCATCCACCACCACCATGTTCACTGATTAACCACGTCCTCAAGTGCCACATCCACACATTTTTCCAACACTTTAGGAATGGTGACTCCACACCTTCCCTGGGCAGCCTGTTCCAAGGCTTTACAACCCTTTCCATGAAGAAATTTTCCCTAATATTCAACTTAAACCTTCCCTGAGGCCATTTCCTCGTTGTTTAGTGTGCAAAACAGACACCAAGGATTTAAAAGAAATATTTTCTTGCCTGGTAGGATCTTTGATTGAGTGATACAGCAACAAGCACCTCTTGAAAAAAATAATTAAATATTAAAAAAATAATATGGCAACAAACGTATTTTCAACAATATTGCAAACTGATTGAAATGGATGTGCAAACCAACATCTTTTCTAGAAGTTAACATTTTGAGTGAATAATTATTTCAATACATTTCTGGGGATTTGGTACTATTTCTAGTCCTAATGGAGGAGATAAGAACATATGATAAACCTTTGCACACCTGCTAGATATTTATTTTCATGCCTTCTCTTATTTTCCTTTAACCATTCTTTTTCCTTCCAACTGCTGCCTCCTCCTAATTGTATTCATAACCTTTCCTTGTAGTACATAAATTTTATTTCTTTTAAAAGCATCTATTCAAATACTCTGAAGTCCATATCACCTCCTCTTTTTTTGATTTTCATTAAGCTGAATTATTTCCCATCCGGTACAAATCATTCTATCTTCAGAGCTTTTGTTGTCTCTGACTCACAGACTCCAAGATAAGACTTGAGATACTTCTGGGGTTTATTTTCTTTTACTAAATGCTTTTTCTCCTGTGGTCTTTGAGTTGGCAAAAATCTTCCTGTGTGGTGGAAAGGATCTGACTCATGTTACTGTTTCCTAATAGATAATAATATTGCCTGTGGCCAGGATTTTCCAGACAGGTAAATCACACACCCGGCTCCCATCAGCTTTTATTGGATCCTTCCTGACCTTTGAAGAAGATTGAGCATGCATTAATTTTTATTTTCTTGCTTTATAGTGTGCATTCCTCTTACAAGAAGCACCTCATGAAAGAAGAAGTGAAAAGCAAATATTTATTTAAAGAAAGGTGAGTAAGTAAGGGAGCAACAGGCCACAGAAAAACTGTGTTTCCTCGGAGAGGGAACAGAGCAATAGAAAAGATTAAAACCAGCAACAGCAGAAATTCTCATAACAGGGGAAATTATTACAGGACGAGGTCCAGAAAGAGAAGAAATGTTCAGCTTAAGGTAAACTGTGTGGAAAAACCTAATAAAAATATTTCGACAAAACTCTACAATTTGGGTGAGGAGGATTTAAAGGTATTCAGTCTCAACAGCAGCATTTATTAGTTGTTAATTGAGGGGTGTTAAAGGCTTTTCATTTCTTGAATTCTCTAAGTCAACATCAGGTATTTTCATGATAGACCAAGTGTAGCTCTACAGCGTTGAGTCAAAGCTGTTGGCTCTGCTCTTTAGAGGTCAGACTGGATAGTCTGAAGGGACCCTATAAAATAAATTAATTTCATTTTACCAAACTAATTTTATTCAATCATTACAGTGCTATATGTATGTTTAAGAAAAATAGCTTTATTTAAAGAAAAAAAAAATAATAACAGAGAGATTTGTACCTGCTTTGGCCAGACCTACACAACTGTACCAGGAAACCTAAACAAATTGAGAAACCTTCTGCACTGTCTTCAAGTTTATCATGTTCCTCAAGGCAAGGCAGAGGAAGAAATAAATAAGGTGGCAGCTCGAGGGGGGGAAGTGTCTCTGGAAAAGATGTCATTGTCATTGGGAGAATTAATGAGGAGGGATGACACGCAGGAGAGGAATTAGCAAAACAGCTCTTGACATTTGTTAGGAAGAAAAGAGCTCCCAGCAGCTGGAGACAAAGCAATCCTTCAACACTTGTAGGAACAGCAGAGGAACTGAGGATCCAGTAACCACCACTGGCAAAGAAGGTGGGGATTTAAGGAAAAAAAAAATAAAAGTTTCCATTGCAGTAAAGGAATAAATTTCAAATTTCACCCAGTTGCATTGTGTGGTTTGTTGTTATTCAAAAAATACCTCTTGGGATAAAAAGAAGGAAAAGCTCCAGTTGTAAACTGGAACGAGCTGGGCGTGGCTCGAGGGCATCGTGTGTGACAAATTGCAACATCAGCTTTGCAGAATAACTTCATTTTGAATCTCTACTGCCTTTTCTAGAGAGAAAATGCTCTTGCTGGGCCTCCCTCTCTCTGAATTTCCATTTGCTTTTGAGGGCTGCAAAGTGATGGAGAGATTTGAGGGGTTTACCAGTTTTCCTGCTGCTCCTGAATCAGAGACCTTTGGTTCTGCTCGTGCTCAAAGCAGCTGCAACAGATGTTTCTGGATCATACTGAGCAGTCAGAGCATAAAAAAAAAAATCCTGTGTAGGAACAGAGACAGGAGAAAATGATGGTCCTTGACTCCAGGAAAATAAACCCAGAACTTGACAGATTCAGGTGTGAGCTCTGGTAAGTCACTGGTCTAAATATTCATAAGAAAAATGAGTATTTGATTACTTTTAAATTGAATCCTTAATCTCTGTGGACCTCTCCTATTCTTTTCCTGACAGAAAAGCGGTTTAGGAAGTACAAAATGACATATTCTTTTAAACACTTAAAACTGTTTAGAGAAAACATTTTCGCTTAGGTACGAGAGGAAAAAAAAATTTAGAACTAGGTAGCGGTTCAATAGAAAGCGAAATGAGAGAACTTTGGAGACTGCAATTCATTTTCTTCATGGTGGATTCGTCGAGATTTATGTGGGAGCTCATAAAAGGCAGAACTGACGTTCCAGAATTCCAGCAGCGAGAGCAGCAGCGACTTCTCAGGCTGGGATTTGCTTTAACTGCCTCAAGTCTCACAAAGGAAATTAAGTGCAGTCAAGCAGCCAGCCTGGTGCACTGGTCACCACTTCTGCATTCCTCTTGCAGTTGGATTCACCTCCTGACCAGCTTTTCCTTCACAGATATAAAAGTTTATGGCTATGAAATTCCTCGGACAAGTTACGTTTGTGACTCCCGATGGCAGAGATGGAAATTCAAGTCTCCAGCTCCTTTATGCAAACAGTTGGATGTGAAATGCCATGACCAAAAGCCTTGCAAATATGCATTTTGTGAACTAGTGTAACACCAGGATAAATATTTGGCCTTTACTTCACCAAAACCTACCACAATAACAGGCACTACCTCCTCCTGCCTATGGAATTAATGATATTTCCAGAATTTAAGGGACGATCACTTCTAGTTTTACCATCTTGTGTTTCCTAGGAAGCCAATATCAGTGTTAACTTTTCCCATAAATTGCTGTTTGGCCTGGATTTAGGGGAGGGAAGAAAAAATTCTAGATTTTGGCTTTTTTTTTCCAAGTCCACGTTTTCCAGCTGCTCAATGCAAACCCACAGGTAAAGGACGTATTTTTCTGAAGGCTTTTTTCTGTGGAAAGAATATTAGATAGATTGGGAAGTGGAATACCTGGGAAAGGGATGTTTGGAAGCAGAAAATTCCAGTAACCACTAAAGGTCCAGCCCCATGTGCCATCAGGGCTGTGCTGGGAGCAGAAGGGAATCATTCCTGGACAGCACCAGTGGTCCTGGCAGGAGATTTCTCCCAGCTGCCCCATTTCCCAGACAAACATGTGGAAACCAAACAGACCTCATAAATATTTGTTTCCCAAATCAGTTAATGACAGGGCATAAAAAGAGCTCGTGAAACTTTAATTTGATGGGACATTATTATGGGCTCTCCAGAAAACAGAGACATAAGTAGTTAGTTGAAATGTCCAATACAGATGAACTTTATTTCTCAGGGGGGAAAACAAACAACCAATAACCCCCAACAAACAAACAACCAAACAAAAAACAACAAAAAAATCACAACCAAACAACAAAACCCAGATGTGCAGGATGAGCTGCACATGTCAGACAAGGTTGCTGATTTATGGGAATTGGCACAACAGTAACAACCTTTGCTTTGATTATATCACCAGAGCACCAATGTGCAAGTAAACTCTAATCCATTACATTTTAAACTTATAGAATTTATTGGACTTGAACTGGGATCTTTATTCATGCCAAGCTCTCTTCTGAATTTATGGCAGTTCTGCAATCATTACTCAGCCTGAATGGAATCATATATTTCTATGAATTAAAATGAGAGGGAGCTTCCTAATTAGCATTACAGCTGTTAATGAGAGATCACATGAGTTGCAGTGAACAGAAAGACATAATGTTATCAGACATTCAGAGTCAGACATATTTAAAATATACTCTTCCTATTTTCTGAAATTCCCACTCCCAGAAGTCTCCAGAGTTTAACAAGATCATAAAACTGGAGCAGCATTTCATGGAGTTCCTTTTAGTTAATATCACAGTATTAAATAAGATCTTTCCTGCAAAGGAAAGAAAATGATTGTTCTTTCTCTCCTAAGCTGACTGTGTAAAATGTTCTTCAATAAAATCCAAGAAATTAATATTCAATGATTTACAGTAAATCTCTTGAGCACAGGAGGTTTGCTCTAGACTGGAAAAGCAAACACTTATGGGTACATTATTATGATGGCTTATGCTAATTAAATTGAAGCAGAAATGCTTAATTTATGCTTTACCATCAAGTGCAAAGGGGAAAATTCTTTCTTGGTTCAAGCTTTATCTTGTTAAGAAGATTTACCTCCTTATTTCCTATAATAAAGAGCTATTTTTGAGACTCTACTGAGAAAGCAGAGGCTGCAGAGCTTTTCTGCCAGTTGCCATGACACTTTGGATCTCAACCTCCAGTTCAATACAATAGCTGCAATTAGGTAATTAGAACATTATCTCAAAGTACACAGCTATTGTACAAAAGAAGAAACATTCTCACTGAATATGCTGCTTAGTCACCAATAAATGATTTTTTTTTTAAATTACATTTTCTAATTATAATGAATAATTTATTTCTCCTGGGGACGCTTGACATTTAAATATTGTACCTTGAAAAAAATAAATACAGGATCCATCCAATATCATCTTAGGACACGTGAAATTTTTCTGACCTTTTAGTTATTTTTCTTCCATCAAACATTGAGAGAGAAAAACATAGTTATTTTTCTTCTACAAAATATTGAGAGAAAAAGAACAACTATAATAACGGGTTATTCTGGTTTAGCTCATTGTTATTTTCAAATTCAAAGGCCTTAATGAAAAATTAATCCATCTTTTATTATTTTTTTTAACTCTCTCAACATCTAGAAGATTTTTATCTAGATGGAATCAATTGTGCCAGGTGATGTAGGATCCCACTTCCCTGAGGTGTTCTGCCCAGGGCAGTGGTGGAATCACCATCCCTGGAATCATTCAAAACCCCTGTAGATGTGGTGCTTTGGGATGTGGTTTAGTGGTGGACCTGGAAGCTCTGGGTTCATGGTTGGATTTGTTGATCTTAGAGATCTTCTCCAACCTCAGTGATTTTATGATTCAAATAAACAAAGTTCTTAGTCTCCACACACATAAAAATGCCTGGCAGGTACAGACTAATAAATACAAGAAATTAGGAATGCAAATGAGTAGCCTGGTGAGTTGGGGTGTGAGGCCATGAGGAGCCAACTTGTCTTCCTATTGGTTTTATAATAATTATGAAAAGAAAAGCTCTAAGGAGAAAAACGAAATATTTGTGCATTTTCTAAAAACTCGGCTCGAGCACAGAAGGAAAAGGCACCAGGAGCACGTGGAGGAAATGCAACTCCTTGGAAATCCATGGGATGTCTGTCACTGATGTCAAGAGAGGCAGATCCAATTTTTGAGTTTCCCAGGTAAATTGTGGACTTTAAACTGCTAATGACCTGAAATAAATATTCAACCACCTGGTTGCATTGTGAGCAACCTTGAGGACTAGCAGAGCAAATTATTTGAGAACACAAGATGAAGCATTTTTTAGCAAAATTAGGTCTATTTTGTCTGGTTGTACCCAAGTGACACCACTGGCACTGAAACCACCTGTGCCACAAAACAGGGACCTCTGTGCTCCAGCCAAAATTCCACCCTGTTCCAGAGACCAGCCCAAATTATTGGTGTGTTCTGGTCTCCAAAACATATTTAAGTTCCCTGCCTGTTTCCTGGAGAGGCTGCACGTGCTGTACCAACCTGCTGTGGGCAAAGACTTCCCAACATACATCTCAGGAATGTTGTGGCTGTCCCTGGGAAATATCAAATGCCAAGGTTTTCATCATTTATTACAGAATATTGGACAGGAAGGGACTTTTTGAGAACAGAACTCTAAATTTAAGCATTTGTTTCTACCTTTTTGTGTCTCAGATTTGTTCCCGTTCCCCGCCCCATTTATCAATCCCTTTCACTAATCATTACTTCCTATATTTATCTACCATAATCACCAACCCTCATTTCTCCATGTCTTGAAGATAAGAAAGTTGCTGTCAGATATTATGCAAACTCTGGCATGAAAAGATGGAACACCAATCCCTCACAAATGGTTGCAAAACTCCCTTAACTTCAAGAAAATTATGTATTCCCTGATAAGCAAAGTTATCAGCCAGATGCTGAGCTAAGCACATGAACGTAAGTCACCTATGACTGAGTTATGGTATTTTTGGCTTCCAGGATGTTTGCCCACAATCCAGGAGCACAGTTCACATTGTTTAGGATTTCTTGATTTTGTTTTCATTTCATACTTACACCAGTTCAAACCTCTCAAGTTTTTTCTTTTTTCTTTTTTTTTTCCTATTTATTCATTGATATTCAAAGGATGATGCTTCTTATAACCCAATTCTTTGGTTTAGTGAGGCAATCAGAAGCTTGCTGACCTGGCACTTTAGATATATCTGGCACAAGCTAAAAACAAACTCAAAGATAAATCCAAAAGCACATAAATCTCAGCTAACACAAAATTCTCAGACAGAACGAGTGCACCACTAAATTCCAACTTGAGCCCAAATACATTATTTTGCATTGTGAGCAACCTTGAGGACTAGCAGAGCAAATTATTTCAGACCAAAAGATGAAGCATTTTTTAGCAAAATCAGGTCTTTTGGTTTCTTCATTTAAAGAAGGAGAGGAAAAAAAATAATTTTTAGATTAGTTTGGATCTTCAGTGGCCTTGTACTTCATGGCTATGCCATTCAGCTCCTCCTAGAACCAAACCTGATTCAAATTCATCATTTTCTGTTCCTGTTTCTTCATTTGACCTTTTCTGTTGTTTCCCTCTTCAATAATGCCTTTTCCATGTATTTACAGGATATGTGCCCCAGTGTATCCTACATAACAACACATGGTATTATTTGAGTGAATCACAGAA